CCAAAAAACCATCAAGTCGATTTCGACTCGTAGTGACTCTATAAGACAGAGTAGAACTGCCTCATAGGGTTTCCAAGGAGCATCTGGCGGATTTGAACTGCCAACCTTTTGGTTAGCAGCCATAGCTCTTAACCACTGCACCACCAGGGCTCCTGCTACCCAGAGACAAGATGATATTCAGCTGACAGGCACCAGTTGAGTTTCAAATATTGAAAATGTCTGAACTGCTAACTCCTGTGCTGAACCCACTGAGTACCCACTGCCCCCTACTTTGAACCATCCCCAGACCCCGTGCACCTCCCCTATGATTCTGGCACAAACAGGCTCACAGGGCCCTGCTCCTGGAATGTGGATGGTCTACATCCATGTCAAAGGTAGCCTAGGTGGCACAAATGGTTAAGTGTTTGACTACTAACCGAAAGGTTGATGGTTCGAACTCACCCAGAGGCACCTCGGAAGATAGGCCTGGCAATCTGCTTCCAAAAGGTCACAGCCTTGAAAACCCTATAGGGCAGTTCTACTCTGCACATACGGGGTTACCATGAATCGGAATCAACTCAATGGCAAGTAACGACAGCATCCATGTCATACCAATTTTGAATAGTTGATTATCATCTTTGTCCTAAGATCTTTAGATACCTAAATGCATCCTACCTCCTCCCCCAGCCAAGCTGCATGAGGAGATTGACCGGGTGATTGGCAAGAACCGTCAGCCCAAGTTTGAGGACCGGGCCAAGATGCCCTACATGGAGGCAGTGATCCATGAGATCCAGAGATTTGGAGATGTGATCCCCATGGGTCTGGCCCGCCGGGTCACCAGGGACACCAAGTTTCGGGATTTCCTCATCCCCAAGGTGCTGCTCCTGCCCAGCCCAGAGGGCCCTCCAAACCTGTGACCCCTGTACCCTTAGAAGCTTTCCAGGCCATGTCCACTCCCTCAGTCAAAGACTTTCCCAACCACCTTCAACCTTCCCACTCAAGGACTCTAATCCTTGGATCTCCCCAAAACTTCCTGCCTTCGGAGACACAAACCCACGTCCCTCAAACCTCCTGCCTCAGAAGACACAGACTCCATGTCTTCAAACCTCTTGTCTTAGGAGACAAGAACCCCATGTCTCCCAAACTTCCTATCTTGGGGAACATGAACTCCTAAACCCACCAAACCTCCTGCCACAGGAGACACAGATCCCATGTCCCCCAAACTTCCTGTCTCAAGGGATGCAAAACTCATAGACCCAGAGCTCCTTCGAAGGGCCCCCAACTCCCATGCCCCCGTTTCTCTTCGCCTTGGGCCCCCTAATTCTCTTCTGACTCCCATGAGCTTTCAGCATACCCATCTTCCACTCCACTTTATCAAATCCCCCTTCCTCCTCTCCACCAGGGCACCGAAGTGTTCCCCATGCTGGGCTCCGTGCTGAGAGACAGCAAGTTCTTCTCCAACCCCGGAGATTTCAACCCCCAGCACTTCCTGGATGAGAAAGGGCAATTTAAGAAGAGCGATGCCTTTGTGCCCTTCTCCATCGGTAAGAGACCACGGTCTGCTGCCAGACCACCACACATACCACCAGGAGCCTTCCTCATCCCAGTCAGTTCCTCTGGGGTGGAGCCTAGTATCTTTCTCCAGCTTGGAAGTCCCTCTTAGAAGCGACCCTTGAGCCACCCAGCTGCAACCACCATTAATACTAAGCACCAAGCACCTGCACCTAGGCAAAAAAGAAGGGATGACCACACTACTTCAGAGATGGGCAAAATTAAGGCCCAGAGTGAGACAGAAATTTGTCTAAAGTCACACAACAAACACTCCAGATTCCTAAGAAGGAGTTGATGTTATAGCAGCCATATTTGGGATGAAGGGTCACCTAAAGTTCCCATTGCTATAGCCTGGCAGGGATCACCCCCATCTCATCTACAGGGGACTCTGAGGCTCAGAGAGAATTAGAGGCTTCCCTGAAAGTTGCTCAGCCACAATGTCCAGCCCCTCCTACCTGAGAGAATGCAGCCAGGACTCAGTAGTGGGGCAAGGCAGCAGTGAGAGTCGCCTCACCTCCGGCCCTCCCACCTCACCTCTCCAGGAAAGCGGTACTGTTTCGGGGAAGGTCTGGCCAGAATGGAGCTCTTTCTCTTCCTTACCACCATCCTGCAGAACTTCCGCTTCAAGTCCCCGCAGTTGCCCGAGGACATCGATGTGTCTCCCAAAAACGTGGGCTTTGCCACCATCCCACGAACCTACACCATGAGCTTCCTGCCTCGCTGAGAGCTGAGATGAGGCAGGGCTAGTTGGAGGGGCACGTGGGGAGGGAGAGGGGCTAGTGGGCAGGGCTGACAAGTAGGTGAGGCTAAAGGGCAGCTGAGAGAAAAAGAAGGGGAACCGTGGATCAGAAGACAAGTAGAAACACGAGGAGCTCTGTCTGTTCACTTGCAAGAGACAGATGCTTCAGAGGTGGGATGGGAGGGAGGAAAATCTACAGCTGTATTGTGGATAATAATAATAATAATAACCGCTATTATGTATTAAACAAGCACTCTGTGTCAGCTCTATGCTAAAAGCTTTACGTGTTCATTTCACATAAAGCAAACAAACCTATGCTATGGGGAACAGTGTCCACGCCCATTTTACAGGTGACACAGCTGAGGTTCAGCAAGTTTAAACCTCTATCTGAGGTCTCACAGAACACAAGTACTTGAACCCAGATCTGTGCAGAGATGGCTAGGCTTAGCCTACAGTCCTTGAGGCAGGTTTTAAAAAGGCACCACTTTTCTCAAGTAAAACAACAGCTTAGCATATTATTGCACAATCTGAACAGCTCTATCCAGGGGATTTTTCCAGCGCCCTGGTGGGCAGCTGACCTGGCTTCACTACACTATTGCCCACCACACTCCTGCCCACTCATGAACACCTTGGAAGCCAGTGCATACTCTGTGCTGTGCACCAGGTAAGACCACTGTGCTCTTAAGAGTTGGATGGGAGGAGAGGAATCAGACCTCTTAATGAGGGGTTGGGAAGAGAAACACTTTCAGGGAATATGGGAGAACTTTGAATCATAGGCATGGCACAGGACCAGGCAGCATTTCTTTCCATTGTGCCTGGGGTCACCATGAGTCAGGGGCTGAATCAACAGGAGCTAAAAACAACAGCATCTGACAACCCAGTTTTAGAGTGAAACCACAACCATCCATGTTTTCGCGCCTTTAAGAGGCTTCTAGAAACCTTGACGCACAGAATCTTAGAACTGTGAAGTAACAAAACTGTCAGATCTTAGAACTGCAGAGTCTACAATTCAGAATCCTGGAATCTCAGATTCCCAGAACTTCAGACTCAGGGCATTTGAATCCCTGGTGTTTGGAACTATTGATGCTCAGAATTTTGGCATCAGGGGTTCCTCTGCACGCATCTTTAAGAACTGCATTCCCAGCCCCATAGGCAAATGTCAGTCCTCCAAGCTGAATGTTCCTTTTGAGAAAGAATGAAGAGAGGAAAGTAGGGGCTACAGCTGGCTGGGTTCTGCCAACAAGAGACACCTCCAAGGGAAGATAGAGTAGCTAGGAGATATTTGCCCTGCAAAGGGGACAAGGAGAGGGGAGGGGGAATAACTATTAATTCCCATAATCCTCTAATTCACACTTTGAAAGTAGAAAGCAGGAGTATATCAAAGCATTACCAGACATGCTGAGAGAAGTCATATTCCAGCCACTAATACCCAAGTCACACTTACCCAAGCAGGACCGTCTCAGTTTGGGTGCTCTGGAAGGGCCAACTCCCCAACCCAGCAAAGACATTGAGCTGGGGGCTGAGGGGAACAGGAGCCTGGATTCTAGTCTAGCATCTGGTGTTAACTTCTTATATGTTCTTTATTATTATTAATTTATTTTATTTTATTTATTTTGTTTTTGTTGCTTGGCAGTTCGAATCCACCAGCCGCTCCTTGGACACCCTATGGGGCAGTTCTACTCTGTCCTATAGGGTTGCTATGAGCTGGAATTGACTCAGTGACAATGGGAACAGGTTGTTGAAAATATACACAGCAAAACATACACCCATTCAACAGTTTCTACATGTACAATTCAATGATATTGATTACATTTTTCCAGTTGTGTAACTATTCTCATCCTCCCTTCCTGAGTTGTTCCTTCCCCATTAACATAAACTCACTGCCCTCTAAGTTTCCTATCTAATCTTTCAAATTGCTGTTGTCAATTTGATCCCGTATAGATAGATTTTGAAAGAGCACAATACTCAAAGCAGACATTTTTTACTAGTTAAGCTTTGGATTAAGTTCCCTGGGGGTGGATCCCACAAGGGCATTTATCAGGGTTGTGGAGTTACATAATTCCTAGTCTCTGATCTGAGCTCACCATTGAGCACCAAGCTCCTGGGTCCATTCTTTTGTCTCCATCCCTAAAGCACCCCCTCTTCCCCCTTCCCCCACGCATGACCACACCCTTCAGTATTGTCCTCTGAGAGCAGGTCTAAGGTTGTGGCTGAAACCACATACTCTGGGGCCAGGCAGAAATGGGTTCAAGTCTTGCCTGGGCTACTTTCTCGCTATGTGATCTTGAGCAAGATACATCACTTCTCTGAGACTCAGTTTCCTCTTCTGTAAAATGAGAATACCAGTAATAATACCTCCCTTACAAGATTGTTGTGTGGATTAAATGTATTTAAAGTCATTAACATGGAGCCCTGGTGGTGCAATGATTACAAGCTCAGCTGATAACCAAAAGGTCGGCAGTTCAAATCTACCAGCTTCTCCTTGGAAACCCTATGGGGCAGTTCTGCTCTGTCCTATAGGGTCGCTATGAGTAGGAATTGACTTGAAGGCAATTGGTTTGGTTTTGATTTGACTGTACCAGAAATACCACAAGTGGGTGGTTTTAAAGAACAGAAATTTATTTTCTCACCATTTAGGAGACTAGAATTCAGAATTCAGGGTGGGCTCTAGGGGTAGGCCCTCTCTCTCTCTCTCTCTGTCAGTTCTGGGGGAAGATGCTTGTCTCAGCTTCTGCAATCCTGGTGTTCCTCAGTTCCTTGGTGATCTGTCCCCTATTTGTGCTTGCTTCTCTCTGTATCTAATTTGCTCCTCTTATATCTCAAAATTCATTAGGTTTAAGATACCCTACACTGATATGGGCATGTAAGAATGGTGTGGAGGCAGTGTCTGACCTCCTCTAACTTCACAAGGGAAAAGGAGAATCAAGATCAACAGCCTAAGGCTGATTCCTATGAGGCAGAGGTCAAACAAACATGCCCCTTTCTCTGCCATCTTTACCAATTCTGACAGAAACCGTCCTGTCCCACTGCACTCTACTTCTCTGCTGGGTTTGATAATTTACTGCAATGGCCACACAGAACTCACAGACAATATTCATGATTACAGGATTTGTTAAGGAAATAACAGGTTACAATTCAGGTTGAGGAACACTCAGGATACAGCTCTTCCATCAGGACAGCCACTTCTCAGCCGTGTCCGTGGGCAGGTCTCTCTCTGGCCTCTCGGCCTCTGCCCTGCTTGGGCAAGTGTTACAAAGCTCTTTTAGCCCTTTGGCTTCTGCTCTGCTTGAGAAAGTGTTACAAAGTTCTTTTAGCTCTGCCAATAAGTTCCCAGAGGCACCCCACTCCACCAGTAAGCCTCGGCCCAAAGGCAATCAATTTTCTTGCTCCATGGGCCAGGAAGCCCACTGCACCATCTCCTGCAAGTCTCTCCTGCCTCTCACTATCTTCACTGTTACAGCTCTCTCTCTCTCTGTCTCCTGGTTCCAGGAGCTTCTCAGCACAGGGATGCCAGGTCCAAAGGACATGCTCTGCTCCTGGCTGTTCCTTCTTTGTGGTGGTGAGATCCTTTCTCTGCTCTGGAATTGGATCTCTTTTATGGCTAGAGCAATGGCAAAACTGACCAATCCCCTCATTACGGTTCCATATACTTTATTAGCATAGGTCCCACCTAATCATTTGTGTGGGAGTTACAAGACCATGGTGAAAAAAGCTACAAAAATAAAGCGATTCATTGTGCCACAAGCCATTACAAAGAAAATCCTATTCCTAAATGAGATTACATCCACAGGTATTCCACGTTGTTGCTAAGTCAATTCCGACTCATAGCGACCCCATAGGACAGAGTAGAACTGCTCCATAGGGTTTCCAAGGAGCGGCTGGTGGATTTGAACTACCAACCTTGGGGTTAACAACCTGAGCTCTTAACCACTGCACCACCAGGGCTCCTCACAGGTGTAGGGGTTAGGATTCCAACACATATTTTGGAGGGACACAATTTAATCCACGGCACATGTGTTGAGTGCCAGCTATGTGCCAAATACTGTGCTAAGCCGTTATGCATGGACTTACTCAACCCCGTAAACCACCATGTGAGGTGAATGCTCTGATGACCACATGTTCCAGATGAGGACACGGATGGAGACAGAGGTTTAGAAACTCGTCAAAAGTCACACAGCTAGGACATGGCCAAGGGTGGATTTGGATGCAGGCCAGTTGGATTCCAGAATGCCTCTTTTGAAGTTTCAGAGATTAATAAGATGGAGTCCTTGCCCCAGAGGAACTCTGGCGAGGATGATAATATTCAGGAGGAATCAGGTTTTCTAGGGAAAAGAAGTAGAGGATGGGAGTTTAGATGTCAACAAATCTCAAGGATGATAAACACAAAAAACACACGAAGGCATATCATAATCAAATTGCTAACAACCAATAATACAGAAAAAAATATTAAAAATACAGAGTGGGGGAAAAAACACATTATAACCAAACCCATCCAAATTGGTAATGAAGAAGTAAAACTTTTCCTATTTGCAGATTATATGATCCTATACATAGAAAACCCCAAAAATTCCACAAGAAAGCTAATGGAAGTAAAAGAAGGATTCAGCAAAGTAGCAGGATACAAGATCAACATACAAAAATCAGTTGGATTCCTCTACAACAAAAGATAACTTCGAAAAGGAAATCAGGAAAACAATGCCATTTACAATAGCCTCTCAAAAGACAAAATACTTAGGAATGAATCTAACCAAGGATGTAAAAGACCTATAAAAGAAAACTACAAAACACTACTGCAAGAAACCAAAAGAGATCTGCATAAATGGAAAAACTTACCATGCTCATGGATAGGAAGACACAACATTGTGAAAATGTCAATACTACCCAAAGCAATCTACAGATGTAATGCAATCCCAATCCAAATTCCAACAGCATACTTTAACCAGATGGAAAAACTAATCACCAACTTTATAAGGAAAGGAAAGAGGCCGTGGATAAGTAAAGCATTATTGAAGAAGAACAAAGTAGGAGACCTCACACTATCACATCTTAGAACTTTCTATACAGGCGTGGTAGTCAAAACAGCCTGATAACTGGTACAACGACAGACACATTGACCAATGAAACATAATTGAGAACCCAGATGTAAATTTATCCACCTACTAGCAGCTGATCTTTGACAAAGGGCGAAAGTCCATTAAATGGGGAAAACAGTCTCTTTAACAAATGGTGCTGACAAAACCGGATGTCCATCTGTAAAAAAAAAAAATGAAACAGGACCTGTACCTCACACCATACACAAAAACTAACTCAAAATGGATCAAAGACCTAAATATAAAACCTAAAACTATGAAGATCACCGAAGAAAAAATAGGGACAATGCCAGTGGCCCTAATATATGGCATAAATAGATTACCAAGCATAACTAGAAATGCACAAACAACAGAAGATGAACTAGATAAATGAAACCTTCTAAAAATTAAACATTTATACTCATCAAAAGACTTCTCCAAAAGAGTAAAAAGAGAATCCACAGACTGGGAAA